TATGTCAGATTACATGTGGCTGTCAAAATAAATGTTCACTTGCCGGAGAGACTTTTGGGAATCCTTTTCTATCAAAGCTTCTATACTGCTTTATTTTCAGCCATCAAACTTAGTATTTATACTAAAAAAATGTGTGGTGTTTTTGTTTTTGCTTGTTTTTACTTTACCAACAGCTGAGAACCGTCTTTCCCAGTGAAAGAATGTCTTTTCAGCAGCTCAGCTCGTTCTAGCAGCACCATGGGAGATTAACAGCTTTCAGAGAGAATTAATCGCCTTCATAGACTTCCTCTTGTCCTCACTCCAGACAGGTTAGAGAATTAGGTGAAGAGGGTACTTCAGCATGATTATCTCATAGCTTTAACATACAAATAGCAAGTGAAGACTATCAGTAGCGGCCACTGCTACTGTGTTTGTGGTGAGATTACAGCTGTCTGTGAGCGGCAGAAGGTAGTTTGTTAGGGGAGACTGGAAGTGCTCGGCCTGCTTTCTATGAGTGATTTATTTTGGTGGCAGTGCGTTGTTTTTATTAACGGTATTGAAAATGTTCTTTAATTATGGTTTTGTTTTGTTTTAGAAGTCTGTGGGGGAGCTTCAGTTTTGGAGTTTTTATTTGATATAATCTGTAATGAAAGATTTTACTTTCAAGCTCACTTGAATCTAGTTGTATAATACAATGTTGGTTTTCTTTGCTTGTTTTTAATTAAAAATGTTGTATGTGGCTTTGGATAATGAAAACCATTTTTAACTGCCTTGTACTGGAAGTGCCTCTGCTGCTCATGAAGAATTGAATAATACTCTTGTCCTATAGGGTGTTGAGTCAAGCACAGATGAGTTCAATTCAGATGACTGAGGTGGTTACAAAACCCAGCTGTCCCACGTTCCACAATTTGCTTTCTCTGTGGCAGGCATGGCTGACCATGAAGCAATTCCCCCTCAGCCAGTTTGTGACCTGCTCTAGTCATGTAGACCAAGGGGGACTTTAAGCTACTTTAATGCACTGGGTTGTTAACTACAGCAGTTCAAGCGCTGCTTCCCATATAAATGATTGGTGCCAGTATTGCGGCTGCAGGCTTTGGAGAAGAGCAGATGCCTGCTAGGCTGCTTAAACTGCCTCCATGGGTAGGTGATATCCTCTGCTTCTGATTCAGTCAGCTTGAGGAAGTCTTTGAGCTCAGTTGTAGTTGCAGCCTGGTTGCAGGTAACTACTGGCAGGGTGCTTCTTCTATGGCTTGATGACTCCAAACAGCTCATTTCTGATTAAGGAAATTTCCTGCAAGAGCTTGGGTTCTTAATGCATCTGGAGAAAAGACTCTGTAAGGTGAATTAGAATAGACACTTCTCTCATGGTTCCTGTTTCACTGGGCTTGGAAGAAGACCAATTCTTAATCTGTTATCCATTTTTGAAAAAGATACATGGTGAACACAGGATTAGGAGCCAAGACATATTGGCCTGTACTGGTTCTGTTGAACAAATAGTTTAGGTAGTTCAATTAGGAGCTATTCTAGCAAGCCCAGGCCATCCTCCTGGTTGGACCACGTGGGAGGGAATGTAGAAAATGGCTTGGTTTTAGGTGGTGGCAGCTGATGGAAGACCACCAGCTTTCCTTGGTTCCTCTCCTCCTTTTGAGATAATACCTTGCTAAGTGCACCAGGAGTCTGAGGATTACGGTCTTGTTTGAGTTCTCGCTATGGTCAGGAGAGCTAACATTGATAGAAGGAAATCAAGGAAATGCCTTTATTTGGATAGAGTACTGCCTAAAGTAGTATCAAATTCAGACCATTTTTGTTTGTTTGTACTTAGGTAAGTGCTGTACCAACTTTGTTTTTGCCTTTGAAATGGAACTTTTTCCCAGAGGAGTATTTCAGATAGTAAAATTTAATTCCAACTTCTTTTTTTCTTTTACTGTGCTTTTATTGCCGTTCTTCAGAGATGTTTTACAGTGGCAAAAGGGATATTTTGCTCTCCTAAGCTTATGGACTTGATGCCTCTCTTGCCTTTTGCACTGCTGGCAGCACTGAATTCCCTGTACCACTACAGTTGTAAAGCCATTTTACATGGCATTTAAAATGAAACATAGAATAAGATGATGCTTTCTACGACTCTGCATTGTTTGTATCGATAAACATTGTCGCAATGCTTTAGCAAAAGTCATTTTCATCCTTAAACATTTGTGCATCTTCTATCTGTTTGGGATTGTTTATTGTGAGCTGCACGTAGCCACAATGCCGGCCATTCAGCCCTTGGATCTCCGCTGTACAAAGTCACTGTTATCTCCCTTGGTGACAGCGTATCACCAACAGTACGGTGCGGAGCTGCAAGCACTCCTGACATAATGGCAAGTCTCACTTTTGCCAGGATGAGTCACTAATTAATTAACCCCTGGGATGGAGAGGCTTCCTGTGCCAGTTCAAGAACAAGTTACGGGAATGCACCATTCTGTGGCAAAGTAGAAGTTGGTTTGAAGCATTTTTATCAGCTCTTTAACTGTTGTATTTACTAATGCTGTAAATGTGCTTGTAGCAAGTTTATAACCAAACAGAAAAATAGGTGCATTGGATGGAGTTGGTTGATGTGCCTTTGCAGGAGAAAAGAACTGCTGCTAACACCGTGGGCTGGGTTTAAGTGCCCCGTACAGAATTATAAGACTTCTACCCTAGGAGAAGGGATTTGTAGTGAGTGTATAGAGGCAAGGAGCACAGGAAATAGCAAAGGTCTTTGCCTCTCACCAGGCCACAAAGCTTTGGTTTGTAACAGGTTCAAACGTGGTTACAAGTGGACTGCTGGGGAGGGAAGGAAGTGAGTGGGCTTGGCTTTGTGGTATGGCAGAGATTGGGGAGACTGCCAGAAGCAAGGAAGAGCAAGGCAGGGCTGCTCTGTGGGTGCTGCTCATGTGATTGTCAGCCACAGAGTGGCTGGAGTGAGTTTCACTCTCCCAGCCTCAAATGGATGGAATGTCTTACCGTGGGACTTTGGTGGATTTGTTTTATGGCCTTGAAAACAAATGAAGAAACAAGAAGTTGTGTTTTCGTAGCGCTAGAGAAGGGTCTTCCTTTTTCTCCAGGAACCCACAGGTCTGTGGATAGAACTTAAGATGTATGAAGCATCTCGAAGCAGGCAGAGTGGTGCTGTACACGAAGGGTGTGAGCTTCTCAGGGGAAGAGCTGTCATGAGGTGTGTGAGCTACGGGGAAGCTGCAGGATTTCTGGTTCAATTCCCAGTGGTTTCTGAAATGGAGAGAGAGCTTCTGCTGCAGAAAGGAATGCTGCTTTGTATAAAAGATCATGATAGACAATGAGAACTGTGTTTGTACCCATGGGATACATGTCTGAGTGAAGTGCCACTCAAAGTGAGTAGTTGGACAACTGTAGCACCAAAAAGGACAAAACTTTACTGTAATATTTCCTGTTTGGGAGCGGGACACTGAACAGCAGTGCTTCTCTTTATTCCGATGTATCACACGTTAATTCTGGTATGTGTTTATTGCTCAGTGTGTGATGTCTTTGTGCAAGCCATGAACGTTTGTTGGACTAATCTTTTGGGTTTTTTATTTCTATACTATATGCTGGCTATAGGGACATGGCAGGCATCAGTGTACATGAGGCCATAAGGAAAAAGAGATGGACTGCAAAGACTAAATGTGTTATAGAAATGCATGTGCCAAGAAAAATAGAGGTTCAAACTATATGGTTGCTTGGAAAAGTTTATAGTCTAAATTTTCTATAGATTATTTAGAAAGAAACTGGAGAACTTCCATACGGAGCAACAACAGCCTTGCTTTAAAAAGATCATGCAGTCAATAGCTTAGTTTAGAAATTTCTTCTGATGAATGACTGCAATTCAGCAGGAAGAAAAATGTGTTTCCTGGGGAGATTCAAGCAAGAAAAGGAGAGTGAGAATAGATAGAGTATATGTCAGCAATGCTCTAGCATGTTGTGCTACACTGATTTTCAGGCCCAGATTAAGGTTTAAGTGTGAAAACAGAAACAAAGTGGAATCCAAGCTGTTGTCTCCCAATAATGCAAGACGCTATCGTGACATTCACGTCATGTTGTCTCTCTATGTATAAGCATCTTGTCAGTGATCTCTGTACTCTGCACAGCACACAGAAAGGAGCTTTTTTACACTCTTTGAAGAGTAAGGCTTTCAGCCTGACGTGCTGCTCAAAATCAGTTTGCTTGCCGCCTTTGGACCACACCTGTAAGCAACTGATATCCATTTGGAGGTAACTTGTAAAGGTTTACAGGAACAATTTAGTTAAAATGGGAGAAAGTAATAAAGAGTATATTCAGCCTCAAAACCTCTACAGGATGTTCTAGACAAACCTTCAAGGTTGAGAGCTTGTTTTCTGCGTGTGGTTTTTTGTTTGTTTGTTTGTTTGTTTTCCTGAAACCAACTGCGGCAAGCTGAGAATGAGTCCAGTACTGACAAAAGATAGCAGGCATTAGACAGGGGAAACTGAAGAGGTAAGAGGAAAGTAACCGTTACAGAGTTATTGGAAACTGCATGCTCAAAATACAGAAGAGCTTGTTGCCTTTTTTGTGGGGGTTGGGGGTATGAAAAGTAAGCCTTCCTTCCTTCCCCCAGTAAAGTGCAGGATGAACAATGAGGAGAATGTCATGGACTGGGAAGGGAATGGTGGGAGGAAATGGGAGTACAGAGGAAATAACTAATTGATATCCCACAGTCTCACTTTTAAAGTAGTATTATATTTATCTCTCTGTCCATAGATAAGGAAATCCTCTTTCATTTGAAGTAGTAGGTAGAATGCTGTTGAAGTTGAGTCTTAATATTTCAGTGAACAGTCAGAAGTGCTATTTTCTGTCTTTTATGTGGTGAAGCAAAGGTGATGTTGTATTAATAAGTTCCTATGACTCCTCATCAGCTCAGTTGTATTGCAGTTTGTAAGATCACAAGCCAATTTGTCATTCATTTAAAACGTAGAACAGCTTCTCTTCACCTGGTGTAGACAATAACTACATTTTTTTTCTTGCATTCACAGGTTTTAATGCAGCCTGAGTCCAAGAAGCATGAAGAAGAGATACCTTCCCTGCTCTGGGGGTTAGATCCTGTATTTTCTGCTTTTGCAAGACTCTATATTAAAGATATAAAAGAAATGAGAGAATCCAAGCAAGTTCCAGGTACGTACTTATTTGTGCAGATTATGAGACACAAAGAATTGTATTTGATTTATGTTTTGCTTTTCATCGAGGGATTTCAGAATGCTTCATGGACATCAGTACAGTTATTTTTCAGTACTCTAAAACTACATGACAGTTGTACCTTTAGTAGTTCTAAGAATAGATTGTTTACCTTGAAGAAATACAAGTGGGGAAAAAAAAAGTTCTGTAAGCTTTTCTTCTTGTGTGTGTGTGTATATATATACATGCATTTATGTGTGTGTGTATACACACATAAGCTGGCTTACATTAAGGTAGTGTACTTCCACTGTGGTAGTGCTTGTTATGTTCTGATAGTTCTAAAAATGCTGGTCCTTTCTGGCCATACATGTTTTACCTTGCCACTCTGTCCACAATACTTGAGGAGGATTTTAAGCCTCTTTATTATGACATAATATCAATTAGTTGATGGCATATTAACATACTGTAAAAAATAAATATAGGTTTTGTTTGCTTAATTTCTAGTTATGAAAGCTACAACATCCTTCAGGTATTTGAAAGACTTGCTTGGAAGTTCTGGCACCTGGGTTGAGTCTTGTACCATGCCTTTTGTTTTCTAACCATTACTGGCAGGTGTGTGCTTTACAGTCTGGTTCTGCTGATCTTCAGCCAGTATCACCTGTGTGTGTACATTTTGTGGAGCACTGTGGGTCCGATCTTCAGTTTCTCTTTTCACTATAAAGAATCTAAACAGACTGCAATGTGATCTCTTTTGTGAAAGTGTTTGTTACTTCAGACTGGAATGTGTCGAGGTGCAGAAAAAGCTGGGGAGGAATCCCGAGAAACTTAGAATTGATGATGAAAAGCAGGAAACCCTAGGCAGTGTGTGTTTTCCATTTGGTTTGCTGGGGCTGTTTTTTTTTGTATTTTTTCTCCACAGGGGAAAAAGTACATTTGTATGGTTCTTTGAATAAGTTCCATCCTGTAGGTTTTGTGATTCTCTTTTATTTTTCTTTACCAGCAAGAATAACAACAGTACTACTCATGTAGAAATGAAGGACAGGTGGTTTTCTTCTTCTTTTTACAACCACTCTTATGTTCACTGGGACTTCACGAACTTTTTTTTCTTAAAGCCTTTTCAGGATTGGGTCTTCAGTCTAGTGTTGGTATTCGTACTCAAGCAAGCAGTACCTCAAGGCTTCCTAAAACTCTGCGGTCTCATTGTAGTACCAGTATAGCAGGTGCATCTGATAAAGGCTGTTCCTTTAATCAGAGACATTTTAATTGTTATTGAACAAAATACAAAACAGTTCATGCATGCACACATGCAAACATACTCAGAAGAATTAAATCTGTGCACATCAATAAACATGCTTCAAAGGAACGTGACTGGCCTTTGAAGGCACTATTCTGTGTGCTCTTTTGTTCACCTCTACATAGTTCAGGCTTTTTCCTTCTCACTTCCCTTCCCTTCCTTTTAGTTGAGTGAGTTGTCTTCTGCCTCATAACTATTTGTGTTTTTGTTTTTTTTTTTTTAAGATTGCCCTAAGGAAGTGGTATCTCTCATATCAAGATATCAGTCTTTAAAATTGGTGCATGTGAGCTTTCTTCACTTCCTGTGCATCTGGCATTCTGCACAACTAAGCTTGTTTGCAATCCTGTGTCATTTTCTAACCAAGCCTTAAAGTATAAAATGAAATCTCATAGAAAAACAGTTTTAATCTTGTTCAGTGTCCTGTTGCTGTGTATGTACCACAAAAGACATCTTGTAGCATATCTCACCCATTGGCTCAATGGAAACTTTTAAATTTAAAAAAAAAAAAAAAAGTATTTTTTGAGGAAGGAGGAAGGTAGGTGTTTGCTGCCAATGTTCCCTGAATGGGTTTGAAGACCAGCTGGAGCTGATTAGCAATGAATCAGTCATTAAGTAAGGATAATTAAGAATGGATGAGTGCAAAACAGTTGTACCTAGGAAGAATAGAAAGGCAGGCAGGCTAAATGTTAGCATTTATTCCAAGAGTGCTTTTCCTAAATTATGGAGCAGCCTCCCAGGAAAAAGGTGGGATCCCATTCACTGGGATTGTTTATATCCTGACTGTACAAATTGCCAGGAATTTACTGTATGGAACAATTTTGCAGTTGCTCTGAGGAAATGAACTGAATGACCTAATAAGTTTTTTCTTTCCATTTTTAAGCATTAGGATTTGATGCAACAATGACTAATCCCTTAAAAGAACACAGAGGAAAGCAGTAAACCTGTCCAATTACTCTTTGCTAGAAATGGTGACAAGAGGCTGGAAAACCACCCAGAAAAACACAGCAGTTGTGTTGACTTAGAGGCCATGAAAGGAGAGTGGGTGTCAAACTCAGTTGTAACACATAATCACACCACGGAAATGTGTGCAGAGCTATCATGCAGTACAGCATTGTGACAGCTTATCAACAAGCAAGGGAAGCTGCAAATAACACAAAAGGAGGTAATAAAAATTAAAGCAATGGCAAACACCTCATTCCTTGGTGATGGTAACAACAGGATCAGAACTTGCCTTCTCCATAGTCCCCCTAAAGTGCAGCTGTGGTTTCCTGTTGTGATAACAGCATGTTAATGTGCATGTTATTTACTGGGTTACTTGATTGAATGCACCTACACAGGGCTTCAGATGTGTAGTGTGTTTTTATTGTTACTGATGTGAACATAATTTAAACAGATAATCTGGGGCAAGAAAAGTGCCCTCTTTACACCTTCAAGTCATCAACTTCAGCAGCTTCTGATTGATAATGTAATTATAATGTCATCTTATGTATGAATTCAGGTAGTTTCTCAGAGAGTAAGGGTGGAGTTCTGTGTAAGCTTATGGGGATATAGAGAACCAGTTCTATCTGGTCACTGTCATTTGCCAAAACTCAGCTTACTAACTGTGAAATGAATATAATAACATGTTGCTTGTTTGCACATGAAGAGATTGGTGTCTCTGCCTCATAGATTTGCCCTGAAAGTGACCCAGACCTTCTCACATGCATGTTTTGTAAGATTTAATGAATGTTTATGTACACTGGGTGCACCTTCATTGAGAGTTTGTCTAACAGTGTTTATTTGTGTCCTGATAAATGGAATGAGAAAACTGGACAAACCTGCTAAACATTCTTTATACCGCATCTGACCGGTGACTGCGTGGTTTTAAGATGACTGCAGTGGATGCATCCCTGAAATATTGCAGTGGACTTGTGTCAGCAAAACTCCTGTTTGTGACCTGCTTGGCTGATCACCTTTGGCTTTTTCTGAAACTGCTGTTTCTGTTTTGTATGTGAGGAAAAACTAATTCCAGGCCCACTTAGGGCTTCTGCCTATGTAGGACAAGTTGTTTTGGGATTTCACGTTTGATATTTTATTTTTTTTAATACAGAATGTTTTTGTGACTCCCTTGTTGCAATGTTTCTCTTTCCCTTTATAAGATTTGCCACAGCGCTTTGAGACAAGTGTTCCTTTTTGAGACCCTTGAGTTACGTAGTTTTTAGAAGGCAGTTATTGCATGTCCCAGATAGCCTCATACTTCAGTAAAACAACAGTATTCCAAAACTGAAGAAAACACGTGGACTGAAAATTAGACCAGGATTTAACCAGAGCTTATTGCCCAGTTATTCTCCTGCTAGTGGACCGTGAAGCTTCAGTGTATGTTCACATCAAGGTTTGTTAAAAAGGTTGGTCATGCTCTTGAAAGAAATTAAACCACGTGGCAACCTCAGCGCTGTGGAAGTCCCCTGGGCTCTGATTCCTCGCCATTTCCTGAACTTCATTTTGTGTTATTCCTATCCAAGTCACCTTTATAGATGTGCAAAAATAGCTCTGAAGGGATGTTTTTAGAACATGTTATTTCAGAAACTGAAACTCAGGATACCATCCATGATGACTGCCCAGTGTGTGCTCTGCAATGTGAGAGGGTTGTTAACCACCCACCCACCTCCATGCCCTACCCTACGCCATGGCTCCTGTTCTTCTGGAAATAAAAGACAGAATTGTGTTAGTTTTCCTTTTGGAGGCAATGCCTTAATCAGGAACAGCTGTGCTGTGAGAAGCTCAAAGTGCTTCCATTGTATTCACTTATTTATCCTTAAGACTTGAAGTTGTAAAAACAAACAAACAAAAAAACACAACAAAAACAAACAAAGAACCTTAAGCGCACAGTAAGCAGTTCTGCAGATCCAAATGTAGAAGAAAGCAAAAGGCTGATAGAGTTCTGAGATTACAATAACGCAGTTTTTGTATCCTATATAGAGCTGATGCTTCCTCCTTGTGTTCCAGTGCTTGCTAATCGAGGGGGTTTTTCACATAAGCAGGCATTAATTAACTTTAAGGCACATTAAGTGTGCAAGGAAGTCACATTTGTCAGTCAAACCTACATAGGGCAGGATGTTGAAGAAAAAGTAGTTATACTTACCGGGGGTGTTCTTTGTCTAGGTATATTCTTCTATAATGGACATCCAGTGAGACAGGTGGATGTTGTTGGGATGGTGGTTCAGACTAAAGAGCGAGAAGCCTTTCACAGTTATGGAGGTAAGAAGAATTTCCATCTTTGTTTTTGCATTTATCAGCCCTCTAGTCTTAGTTACTGTTACTGAAATTAAAAGTTGCCTTATTTGATTGTTCTTGAAACAAATCTACTTTATTACATGAAGTATATGCCCAGCTCAGAATACTTTAGCAAGCTACTGTTTCTCTTAAAATAGAGAAAATAAATGGCTGAAGCCGAGTAACTGATTTGGGGTCATCTGGAACAATTTAATTTTTGTTATTACCTTGCCACTGTTCCCCACTGTTCTTCTTTTGCATATATGCTCTTTCTTTAGTCACATGTAAATGGTTTTAATGATTTCTCTAAGGAGTTACTTCTTCCTTTTTTGAGCTTCAGAAACCCCTTCTTGACTTTATATGTTTTATTGTGTGTTGGAGCCAGGTTTTAGTGTCTGTTGAGCTTGATTATAATTAGCTGCCAAAGTGTCTTAGCAAATCCAACCCAACCATCGTAGTACCCACCAGACCTTGCTACCACCAGCACAGTCGACTCCTGCCTCTTGCTTTTCCCTGTTGCATTCAGCCTATTTCATTAACTTGGAGCCATCTGGTTGTGTGCTGAAAAAGCAAACTGAAGTACTGGGGGTGGGGAAAGGGTCATCTCACAGTAGGAAGGGGAGCCAAAGGCATAGATCATTACTCTGCAGGCATTTGAAGAACCTGTGTCCGGTGTCTGCCGCCACGAATTTCCAACTGATGGAGCTAAGTTATGGAGTGACACTTTGTACTCAGTTCTTCCATTTTTAAGATGGAGGCAGCAGTAATTCCCCCTCTGACAGCGGTGTTGAGAAGATAGAATTGACAGCTTAGAGTCAGGTCCCAGCTTCCATAACACCTGCAGTTGCACCACAGCACAGCAGAGGAGCACTGGTTGCCAGTGCATGAAGCATACCCCAAACAGTGTAGCTGCTTAGAGTTGAGTCTGCTCTACATAAATATCCCTGCAAGTTTATTAAATAGGGTATCTCCTGTCTTCCCATCTATTTTGTGTTACTACCCTGCCATTACACCGAATAACAAGTTTATGTATTTTAAAGCACGAGTTGCTCAGTCACTTGAAGTAGAACAGACTAAACAAGCACCTAAGTTAAGAAATGATGAGACTGATGATGTAATGAAGTGTTGAAACTAGTTGAACGTCAGCAGTTATTCTGTTATTGCACTAGAATACAAATGGAGATAGCATTTCATAAGAACAGAGGAAAATAGAATCACAATGACCTAGGTAAAAGCAATTTAATGGACAATTCTTTCCCATGCTAGCCTCACTGTTACGTAACGCTTGTTGGAAATGTTTGATTGGAACAGAAAATGGAGGAGTAGAAATAAAAAGAAACCAGAAACAAAAAGAACTTAAAGGTTGGCTGATCTAACACTAAGTATACAGCTCTCAGCCTGCCTTCCTGCTGTTCTTTCACATCTAACTCTGCTCTTTGTTCCAGCAGTTCCTGGTTTGAATTCTCAGGCTACCTGCCAGGGTGCCTCTACCCAGCCAGCCCTCTCTTTCAGGCAGGCTGGTTCCAGCAGCATAGAATTGTAACTTCTTAGACAGTTTCCTACTTGTAACTTCTTGCATCTCTCAGTTCAACAGACTCTGGTTAGTGAGTCACAGAGCAGGTGTTGCATCAATTGGAGCACTGTTCAGCATTTGCTCACTTTCCATCTGCTTAAGAGTGACTTACAAAGCAATTGCCCCTTTGTAGTTTTTCTGTGATAGAACTGAAATGTCTTTGTGTCACTGCCACCATCTCTCCCACTCATTTCCTATCTGTCTACTTCAGAATACATACCTTTTATTTTAAGAGTCTTAGGTTCTCTCTGTGCTGCAAATCCATACAGCCCAAATCCATACTGATAGCAAAGTAATTATTAGAAGAGAGTGAATTAACTCTTTCCTGGCTAATAATAATTCTAAATGCCATGTAAAACAGCACATACATTTTGACATTTATTTGTTTAATTGCTCTTATTATGATTAGGAAAAGGATATCTAATTAAAGCCTAGCTTTCAGCAAGCTCATGTTTTTAGCCAATGCACTTTTTTGATCTTTTCTTTCCTTTTTAAGAGAACCAAACAACATCAGATGTGGCTTTTCTTATTCTCCAGGACCATACTGAAAGGCTGAACACTTGCCTTACAAACAGACATCTCACTGGAGCCTCAGTGGACTCACATAGGCCCTACATAAAACAAACTCTTCTTACAAAGAAACCAACACAGTTACTAATTTACTAGGTGACTTTGAGTAGACTGCTTCTCAAAGAGTTAACATAAGAGTCAAGATGGTGAGACAGTCAATGCTAGAGTTAATAAGTAAATAAAATTAAATGCAAGGAGATGAGAAAGGATGGCAGGGGAGCCCAGGAAGTTTTCACAAGCCTGTAGACGCCCTGCGTGCATTTAAAATAGATTAACGTTCTCCTGTCTGATTAGAATACAATTGCAATAGTTTTCACTCATCTGTGGTTCAGGAGTTGTTTTTGCTCAAAGGTTTATTTGGGAGCTTTATTTCAGGGCCTGGCTCTGCAACCCAAGTTCAGCTTTGTGATCAGCTATAGGTTGGTCTCTCTACGATTTCTAACAGTCACATTGATGAGGAATCATCTGGCTTCCTAATCCTTCAGCCTTGTTTGTTTGGCTTCCAAGCTCTTCTTAGGAAGCATGTATTTTGGTCTGTAAGGAAACATCTACATTGTATAGCAAAATAATTGTGAAATGTTGTCTTCCCTGTTTCTTATTGTCAGTGTTGGCTTGCATCAGTAGCTTTATATGGTGCATGATGGCTCTTCCTCCAACTAAAATAGTTGCATTTCATCTGTACCAAAGAGAGGAAACTCTGTTAATTAGATCATTGTCTACACTAGTGCTGAACTAAATCTATTGAAATAGTTGCAGACATGGGAGCTCAGGAGGGGGATAGCAATGAAACAACCATACATCTAGTGATAGAATTTGGGATTGCCTGCGTCTTATAAATGCTGTTTGCTATTAAGAATATGTCTGTGCCAGAGTAGTTCAGCATACCTACTGGGAAACAGGAAGACAAGGCAATGACTTGAGATCAGACCCTCAAATAGGGAGATTGTTTCAAAACATATGAGACAATGCAAAGGCATTTTGCTTTGATGCTACGATTCCCAGAGGAAGCGACTGCAAGTACCAATCAGTACCTTCCTGGTAAACACCACTGATGCTTTTGTAGTAACTGGTTAGAGGGGGTTTCTTTGTTGTTGTTTTTTATCTATATATAGTGTCTGGTTTTGTAGAGCTGGTTTGAGGAGCAGCAGAAAATTGTGGATTCTTATTTATGAAGAGGTCATATTTATGAAGGTCAGTGTTGGAGGCAGTTATGCTCAGGGTGCAATGTGCTTGGAATTTTAGCTGGACTGGAAATGTGATCCTTGCCATGGTTTGACAGACACCTGGTACCTTCTTACTTAGAGGATGTTTGCTGGGCAAGCTGCCCATATGAAGTCTCTTGATCTATAGAACAATTGATTCTTCTGATAGCTTTATAGTTTATTTTGTTTTTTTGTTTGTTTGTTTCCTTTTTTGGTGTCTTGAACAATACAGTGCCTAGGGCAGGAATCACAGGACTTATTTTGCCTAGGTACTAGTAAGACAGGAAAAGCCAGATAGCTGACATGCTCAGGAGAGGGTAGGTGTTAAGCTTTTTAATACGGAAGTGGCTTGCATGCCACTAAGTGGTACCTTAAATTAGGAATCCTTGGCCTAGGGCAGAACCATAGGCAAGTCCTCTGTCCTGTCTGGATGTGGTGGCCGCCGTTCTAATCTCTTAAATGGGGAAGGCCAGCAGACTTTGTTTGCAATATTAGCGTAAAAAACAGTGTAGCTGGAGATAGGACTCTCTTTATCTATTTTGTTATTCTACCTCCCTCCTCACTCCCCACCAGCCCTGACATGCTGTTCTCTCATTTCGGTATTAATGTTTCTGTGCATTGTGTTTCATTTCTAATTGTAATTTGTTTAGCTTCAACTTTCAGCACTGATTTACTTTCTGACTTTATCAATTAAATTAGAAACCTCTAGTACCCAATATATGTAGTGAATCATCACCATTTGTCAGTATTTGATATTTTTTTTTAGTTTTATTTCTTGAGGAGCTAGCTGTTTTGCTTGCTGTGCATGTAGGCATGTTGTCTAGCACCGAACTATTCTGCAAGTAAGTTTGGAGACTATTTCAAAGCCAAAAGCAGGAGATGAGCCCCCACTTTCCTTTACAGCCTGATTAGAATGAGATATGCAGGGAGATGACTGCTGAGAATATCTACATATTTTCATTTCTTGGAACATCACTACCTACTTTCATATTCCCTGTAATTCTTGCAATTTTTTTTTTTACAGTGGATGATAGTACTGGGGTTATAAATTGTATCTGCTGGAAAAATCCCATGGTAGCAGAAAGATCTTTATCAGGTAACTTATTAAGTAATTCCTCTTTGTGAGTGTACTTTTTGTTTGCAACTTAAATAATTTAGTAAATGATCTCACTTGCAGAACAACCATATCCCACAGCCTGGGCCATCTTGGGAGCTTCGTATTACTTTTTGTGTTGTTGCCAGTCATGGTGCCAATAAAAACACTGCATTATGACTTATCAAGCCTTTTCCTTATTAGCATAATGTATTTCAATTCCATGCTGTGAAATTTTTCAGAGAATCCTCTTCTTATACTTTATAAAACCAGTCAATTGACCACCAACTTGATCTTCATTTCTCACCCTTGTGGCACAATAGTTTCAGAATTCCTCTTTTTTTTTTTTTTTGTTTGCATTCATATTTTCCTTCTGTTTATGTGTATGCTAGCTTGATGAACTCAAAAGTAGATTTCAATGCAGGGGGAGCACACATTTTGTGATTTCAACAGTTCTAAACGAGCAAAAATAGTGCATTTTAAGTGAATCTGTTTTTGTATTCAGTGACAGAAGAACTCAGTAATGTCTGACTTTACCTTCTTGTATATCAAAATATGGGATAACTTCTACATTGGACATTCCTGAAAGCCCCAGTAATAGATTGAAGCTAGTGAAACTGAAATAAATGCCATTAGTGTAATCTTCCAGTACTACACGTGCGTAGAAAAGGCAGGGAAAGCTTGATGTAGGAGTTAAGAAGTGTTGATATCAGTGGAACAAGCACTTTTATACACACAGGTAATTCATACTAACTTACACTTGATGTTTTCCAAAAAAAGAAATGGGGACTCACAAATTAGTTTTTTTTGTGAGGAACATGAATTCCTCAATTTCTTCCTAAATAAGGAAGAAATTGCATGAAGTAGTGGTTGACACACAGTGAGGACTCCGAATTCTTGTTTCAGCCTTGTATGCTATTATTTTACATGTACAATAGCACTGACTGACTATTATTTTATTAATGAAAATTAATTTGTGTTAGGTAAAGAAAATAGCTCCCAAGAGGCAGAGGAAGTTTTCTTCAAAGTCGGTAACGATGATCAGAGGTTGTTAGGTCATTATTCAGGCTTTAAATAATGAAGAAATTGCTGTCCTGCAAAGGTGTGTTACATAAAAAAGTTCTGTCAAGTTGCATTCATCTCACTGTATTGCATCACATCACATGAATGGTTTGGCCTCACCTCAGATGATTCATGCTTCTTTTATATAAACGTTCAGCTGACCTTTTTCTTTCCTTTATTTATCCTCTCCTCCTTAGTATGACAAAATCAATTTTGGCAATTTCCAATTCATATTTCAGTTTTTCAACCTGTGACATCTCTTCCCTTTTATACCTTCCCCAGGTGAACTGCTAAAATAAATGTAATATTATAAGCTAACTTTATCATCCTTAAGTTTTGCTACCCAGCACAAATGAAGCCTGGGACCTTTCCCTTTTCTAGCAATATGACTACAGTAATGTTACATTTGGCCTCCATGCCTGATTTGCTTTTCCATCACTCCTTACAGAGTGCCCAAGCACCCCTAGCAGTCTTAAAGTGCTTGAACAGATGAAGAAATTCCAGGAAATGGTGAGCCAGAAAACCAAGCTGGAGATTGGGGATGTCATCAGGGTCAGAGGCTACGTCCGGACCTTCAGGCAGCAAAGAGAAATTCAGTCTTCGTGTTTTTGTAAGTGCCAGGGATCTGTGCCCAAGCTCTGTGTAGTTTATTGAATGATTTCCACTTTGTTTTCTGGCATCTCTTTAGAAAAATGACTTTTGCATTTGTGTGCCTTTTTTCTAACCTTACATTGCTAAAACTAAAGTACACACTGCTTAATGTGTGGGACTAGAAGACTACCTATACAAGAGGGAGTCCTGAAAGGTTTATGAAAGATGAATAGAATGTATACAAGAATATACAAGATACTCTAACTGGATATCTGTGAGTGCTCTTCAGTTTTCTTTATATTGAAATAGAACCGCCAGAACTCATTGGAAAGTATGAACTTCAGTGTCACACTTAACCAAGAATGTTAACTGCTTTGAAGAAAGAGTTGTTGTTTACAGCCCACATCATCCATTCCAAGGACAGACAACTGTTTATTGTCACATTTTTATATTAAAGCCCATTTTCCTAAACTTTCTGACTCCACAAAATGCCTGAAAATTACTCCCCCTTTTGAGTCACTCAGTCAGAGATCTGTGGGTGCTGACCTGTATCTCAAAGCTCTTTGGGCAACAATCGATTATTTATATCCTAGGATCTTCCAGTTGCATAACACCTTTTCTCCTTAGTGTCTGTGCTATTGTGTAACTGAGGAAGCCTGTCTTTCAAAGAGCTTGTGTAGTTCAGATTAAAAAGGAAGAAAAAAAAAAATCAGTTTTTTCAGCTCTTGCAAAAATCTGAAAGCCCTCCTTTCCAAACAGAAGTCTTATGAATATATAAACTATTGAAGGGCTGGTGATAAAACCATTGTTTTGTTGAAGGAGGTCCACAAAATTCACGTAGCCTTTAAATTGCTTTAGCATCAGCAGCACAAGTAAAGTTCCTTACTATGTGCTTACTTCATGTATTTCAGGTAAGATACCCAATTCTCAGTTATCAGGCAAAAGAACAGTTTGCATTGCACCACGACAGATCATTTACCTCCTTTTAGGCTATAAAAGTGGGAGTAACCTTTGTGGTTTGGTTTTGTTTTTATAACAACAGCAACAAACAAAATCTGTCAATTTAATACTAATGTGTGAAACCTTGTTGTGCCGCCTGAGGTATGCTTGTTTAAAGCCCATACAGCTGTTCTTTTTCCTGCTTCAGATAAGGTGGATGATCCTGTGTGTGATGTTCAGATTTCAAGAATGTTGGAGCTCCCCTGCCTGTATAGAGAAGTTTATGATAAACCTTTCCAAAGCCCAGGGGCAGGACAGAGGTAAATGTGGTAACCAGACTGGTTTAAAGGCAAAGTGTGAGATTCCATTGTTGCTTATTTGTTAATGTGATAACTGCAGGAAAATAGAACAGGGTCCCACTGTGATTTGTACTCTGCACAAGCATACAGTGGCAGCCTTCTTTTCTCCTGAACAGTTAACAATCCTTACAGATAAGATACTTGTCCATGAGCTGAGAAAAGAATTAAAAAGCACCCAACTGATTATTAGTGAGATGTTAAAATACTGTGCATAGACAGACCTTTTGCATCTCTGGCAGAAAGGGGATCTGGAGCAAGGGAATCTGAACCGAGGTGTTCAGTGCATTTTAAAATGGTCTGCCTTAGGAGTTTAGATTCAAACTCTCTTACTGTCTAAGGACACTAAAATACCTTCTGATCTTTTAAAACCAGTCTATCTGGCTACACTTACACAATTGTTGTTAAAAACTGTAATGTATTTCTTGATTTTTGTTTATTTATTTATTTAAATCTGTTCTCTGTATTTTTGTAGTGGACCAGAAGGTTTGGATTTCTTAATCCAAACGCTGCATGAGAAAGTAAGAGATTTCCTACTGGAAAACAAAATTCAGACCTTTTACCAGCAGGAGTTGGAAACAATTCATTCTCTGGTATCCCTAGCTGATGGGCCTAAATCTAGTCCCAGCTGTCAGGTGAGTGAAAGTAATTGTTTTTAGTTCTTTGTTGGGGAAAACAGTTTCATTTTTGAAAGTCTAAGCAACCAGCTAAGAAACTAATGCCTTCAATGGATTTGAAAATTACAAATGCCTTCCTGATTTAGCTTTCTGGGGTTATTTCTGGGGTTTGAGAAGCCTTGTCACTTGGGATGTTTAAAACTGGAGTGAAGAAAGCTACAGTTCTATTGTTAAGGGTGGTCTGGTACGTGAGCTGAGTAACCTTACAGTCTAACTTACCTCAATCGGTGAATAATGCCACTATTGGAAAAGGCACTTGGGCTCTTTGGAGCAGATGTCCCCACCAGGAAAAGGGAGGACAAATTCTTTGTTTTATTTCTCATTGGAAGTGCAATGTATTAATATAGATGTTGCTTTCAAAAGTGGATTGTAATGAGTGAATGAAAAATGCTCCCTGTTAAATGTGTATGGCCTTGTGGAATGCCTTGACTGAAAGGATCAGAAGGTGGGATTTGAATGAAATCTGTTTACATGCAATTGCAAGTAACCAAATTGTTAAGAAGCTTTCCAGTGAGATAATATGGCCGTGATGAACTATAAAATGATAGGAAAAGAAAACATTTTGTAAAATGGCTTACTATTATTTTTGCTATTTGGATAAATTGCAAGCCAGGCTCTCTACTGGAGTGACAAACTTCTGCAAAAGTAACAGTCATGAATTTAACCTTGTTACCAATGGCAACTTCTACATTTAAACCAGAGTACTGTGACTCACTTGTTTACTTTCTGGTTTTCTGTAGAGAAATGGATCCACGGCAGTCATTTTCAGAGCCTGATTTTGACATACATGTTAAAGATAAAAGTGCTATGTTATGTTAATAGATAATGTTTGTTTAATTCTTAAAAATAAACAACGAAGGCCAGTCCATTGCAGATGAGGCTAAACAGTAATGAAAACAATCTCTGTTCTTGTTTGCCTCAATGAACTGTTTCTGATAACTGCTTCTTGATAACTGCTTCTTTAATTTTTGTTAAGGGCATTTTTTGTTGTTTGCTTTAAAGCAGTTACGAATATATAAACAAGGACAGGAATTTGTATGATTTGTGACAGGAAAAATTTGTTACTAAAATATCCAGAATGAGACAGGGTATTTTTCTAAACCAGCTGGAACAATATTAAAGAGTTCCCAAACCCTTTGCATAAAAGGAAGTAGTGCTCATTGTAACTGATGCTGAAAATGTCCATCTCTGAAGTTCTAGAATTTATAGAAAGATTAGGATGAATGACTTGCAGAGCCATTGTAAGTAGGAACTGGTGCAGAGCAAACATAAAGGCACAACCCTCCTCCTCCAGCATCAGCACTGCTAATAGTCATGAGGAACTGTCATAATAATTAATAGCTGTTGCTCCTGACCCTGATGCAAAAGTGTGAGTGTATGTCCCAGGAATTTGGGCACACAGATGCTTATTTAGAAATTGCAGTTCTCTCCATTGCCCTTTGGTATTAATTCCTTGCAAAGAGGCTTATATCTCTTTGCATAAGAAACAACATTCAGTTGTCAAGTGACCTGAATGCCTTAAGGGTGCTCCTAGTAATGCTCTTGAAATGTATTTTGTTGTTCCTCTGCTCAGTCTCTTGAAAGTGTTACTTCCCTCAATTGGTAAAGGGTCAAGTACCGAGTTTGATTCACAAAAATAAGAGGGAAATCTGATTTCTATCCTTTTTCCTTCCCTTCCTTCCCTCTATAATCTTCAGTTTTGCATCTCAAACCAAATGGAGAAAGGATACTGCTAGTGTAGAATGAAGTTGTTATGCCGTTTTGTCAAGGCACAAGGTAGATGAGTGGGCCAAACTGTAAGCCTTAAGCTACGGAGCAAAGTACACACTTGTTTGCTTCTTGTACTTCTACTGGCTTTGAAAGGATGGGGTACTTTGATAATTAGCCTTATAATTTTCTCCTGTTTCTAGGTTATAGTACAGTTGTGATTTAAACTCTGCTTCTCTCATCCTTTCTGTGTGATCCTAGGAGATGTTAGTGCACTTTCATCATCTTTTTTTTTTTTTTTTTTTACCATCCCATTGTGATAAACATTGTGCAAGTACATGAGAAATTTTCTCATGGAAAATTTCTTTCAGGGAGGCATTGAGCTGCAATGGAATCACTGGCAGTAGAGTGGAACAGGGCATGAGGATGGGAGGAGGTAGCTGGGATAACGATGTAGGCAGCACCTCTCACACCTCTCTTGTCCTTTTCAGGATTACTGTCCACGTCCCACAAAGTTGTGTGTCTCACAATACTGAGTTTCAGTCCTAATGGCTCCCCAGCTGGCCCTTCAGAATAAATTTCTCTCTAGCAGATGCATATAGCTGAACTCTAATCACATCCTCTGCTCAAACACATACAAGGTTACTTAATTTTATAGTTACAGAGGGTAAATAAGAACTAGTAGCTTGATGTTTTTAAAAATTATTACAGATTAAGAAATCTGTTACTAATTTGAAAAGAGTAAAGCTTTATTTCACATAACCAGTACCCTTCTATTTCTAAGTGTTAGCCTTCCCTTGCTGGACTTAGGCAACTAATTTTTTGTTCTTTTCAGAAAAAAAAAGTAAATCTGTTCACGTGAGCTTGATATGTGCAGTTTCTGAATGAGAATAGATTCAATTTGCAGCCAGCCGGTCTTGATTAACCTTTCTTTCTTATTTCTTCCATGCATAAGCTATATTATGAGCTGTTTTAGTATTCTCATTCCACTTCATGCATGTCACTAGCTTCAACTTGGTTGTGTTTTCCAAACTTTGCTCTTTATACTTCCTTTGGTTTGAACGTTATCTCAAGGTCAGCAATGACAGGTAGTTGAAGCAAGGAGTTTTACTGCATTTATTTATGCTTACTATGGCTATGCATACTATACTGTAGGTATAACACAGTGCCTTGGTTTATACATTCTTGATGTCAGCACTTGTCTTCCTTCTTCTGGAGGAAGCTTCACTGCTACTTTAAACATAGCAAAGCTTATTTATGATAGGACTTCAGTACTGACACATCCAGAATCACTATCATCACTGTCACTAAAATTGTCACCTGTCTAAACTAAGGCTGAGAGAGAAATTGCAAAGCACAGTTTCTATTAGTAGTATCACAGTAGTGTGGTTATACCAGGAAACTTTAACACAATCAGGGTGTGTTGTGATTCATAAAGAGCCAATTATATACTTTCAGCATTCAACCCAATTCCTGTACCACGTCATTCTTTGACCAATTATTGATTGTGCAGGAAGTTTACTTTGCTATAAAGAGAATAATTGGTTGCACAGCACCAGTCCACTAAACTCAGCAAGGCCACCAGCTAGAATATGTGAGTTGAAATACCAGTTTAATTCTGGAGATGTGTTCTGTTGGCTTTGCTGAATGTTTCCTGGCTGGCCCTGGGAGGGAAGCTCTGGATGGTGAAACCATCATTCAATAGCTGGGGGAGAAAGGGAAGAAGGTGAGCTTTACAAAAGTGATGAATGATTTTAGGGTGCTCCTGCTTTTGGATGTGCAGCTTCATTTTTAGAAAGAATCTGATTTGGGAGAGCAGGGGAGAACAGCTGCTGTCAGCACTTCAGGGAACCTGGAACTGTGCTCTCTGAAACTTAAGGTTTGCCAGAGGGGAGATGTTTTGAAAGATGATGTGTGAACACTGCGAGGGGTTAATTCAAAATCCAGATTCAAATCTTGCTATTGCTTTGGATCAGCAGTTAAACTACTTAATACCTGAAAATGCTTTGAATTTCTTGGATGAAAAGCTTCATAAAAGTAAAGCGATAGTTAACAAGCTGTGACTCAGAAGGATCTACTTTAACAACAACAGACACGTTTTTATAACTGTTGAAATGCAAGCGTTTTTCAATCTCCTGAAATAAAAGCAGGAATGTGAAATCAGCTAGGATTTCATCGTCTCAGATTTCTTTTGTCTGTGTGTAGCACTGTGTCCAACCTCCTCTAGACCTCTGCTCAGCAGTCAAGCGTCAGTGTACGTTGCCTCTCAGGAGACAGTGCAAGCTCAGAAGAAATGAGGGCCTGGTTTGGTATAAAAGAAAGCGACAAGGAATTAAGGAGACGTTCTGTTGACTTTTGGATGGGCAGGATGAGAAGTTGGAGATATTTTGGATGAACAAAAGAACGGATTAAGGAATTCTAGCTTGTGTGCACAAAGAAACGTTGAATTGGTTGATTTACTTAGAGAGGTAGAAGTGCACTCTAGTCCATGCTAGAGAAAAATAACTTCTTCCAACTTAGGATACTGTTAAAGCCCATAAAGAGGGCAAGAGCCCTGTTTGTTTTTTGGCAGTTATTCTCCCCTTGAGCCTGTTCCCTTGGACTCCACACATTTGAGGGGATGCTGAGATATAGCAGCTGCTTGCTTATTTTCTCACTCTCAAGTGTGCCTCTCTGCCTTCTGTCTGTCAATCTCTTCTTAGTGATTCTGTTTCGGTATCCATCCAGGCAGAGCTGTGTGTCAGTTCACACAGAGTCTGTTTTTAATTATCTCCCTTTTCTGACGGGATCTCACTGTTAAGCCAAACTGAATAATTAGCATGCTTCTTTGGAGATATTTTTCTTTTTTTTTTTTTTTTCTTCTCAAATGTTTGCTTTCATATTAAAAATTGATTAGTTTTGAGGTGGTTGCTTTGCAAGCAGTTTCTTAAATTTTTGAGGATTTATTCCTGCATCTGCTAGAGGCAAAGTCTGTCCATTTTAGGTATGGTTGTGAGTGTGCTTTATTATGAGAAAATATTCACTCTTCATTTGTAAAACAAGCAAACAAAACCCCTTCCTACCACATTTAATGTTTATTTCTTCAGTTCATTGTAGGAGGCATTATGAAGAGAAATATTATAGCAGTATTAATGGTGTGACTTGAATGATGTCCAAACGTAAGGTCAAGTTTGTCATTGAAAGCAGTGTCTGTTGTTGCATAAGCTGATATAGCTGTGGTGCCTCAGGGGACAAACATTCAGACACTGAATTCTGTAACAGGAGAAAACTTGAAGCCAATAAAGACTGAGGATAATAGCCATTGTTCTGTGTTAAATATCTCGAACTGTTAGGTAATTATTTTTGGCTAAGAACTTGAGGGGAAAAAAGATAGCTGCTGTGGGGCACAGAGAGGGGAAGAAAAAGGAGAGCTGTGATTATGGCCTGTTGAAACATTGAGGGGAAGGGCATGGAGAAAAATGTGGAGTGTGCTCATGCCTCATTGGATCTGTGAACTGTTCCTGGCTAGAAGCATCAGCTCCCAATCTTAGAGATAGTCTGAGTTTCGCTCAAGACTTAAAAATGGATGAAAGTAATGTTTTGTGAAAAGATATTCTTACATTGCTGATGTGTTTGTTACCATGTGTCCACGTGCGTTCATACTGGTGCACCATGGTTGCCTATTTCACTCGCAGGATTTCTTTGAGTTGACCTGATGATTGAAGTAGGATATGTGGTATCTGATACTTATCTTCAGGACAGAATGGTAGCATCTATGGTGATGGCTGAAAACATGGCTTGGCAAATCTTGCTTTGGTTGCTCTGGTGTGGTCTGGTCCCACTCATCGCATGTTTGTTTGTGGGAAACAGTTTAGCTGCCGCCTTGAAGGAAATCACAGGGAGCACAGTGTGTGCCCAACAGATGTGGAAACAGCAAATGGGGAACTGAAGCAGGCTTTGTAGATAAATGCGAGTTCGAAAGATACAGTAGGGCTGATAGATATGGAAAAGAGTAAACTCGTGGTCTTACTCTTACCTACCTGTACAGTCTTTTCTCCACAGTTGATTCATTTTCTTCCAGTTCCCTTCTCAGGAACTCCAATGTCCCTTGTCATCCCGCTCTTTTAGCTCTGCTTTCAAACAAACCCTGCTTTTCCCTATTTTTTTCCCTCATTTCTTCCTTTCTACCCTTTTGGCAACGTACTGAACCCTTTCTTCTAATAGCCTCCCCACTGACAGGCTTTCAGGCACGTGTTCTTCTTTCACAAGAAAATCATTTTCTCACTTGCCTTATAAACGGAATCCTTTCCGGAATCCTTATCTTATATACCTGCTTTAATTTCTTGCATATACTTTCTCTTTTTATTTCATTGGAACTGTGGAGAAGTTTTTAAAAGCAAGATCAGAATATGTGTAAAATAAATAAATAAAAAATTGGAAACCAAGGGACAAGAAATAAATATTGCCATTACCAGTTTCCTTGTTTTCCTTGGGCACTGCCACATTTTCATATCAGGAGATGGAGATTGAATCTGCAGCCCTTGGATTCCTCCTGAATATCACCTTACAAAGCACTAGCCTACTGGTTTCTTCCCGTATCCCTTTCTTACAGGAAAAATCTGAATATCATAAAGCTGATCAGCTTAACCGTTGAATTCTCTGGAAGCATCACAGGTTTATTCCAAGAGAAAAGAACTCTCAGTGTGTAATTAAATAGCTGCTAAATACCAAGAAGGCAGTTAGAAGATTTCTGGCTTCTTTAGAACAGTAGAGCTTCTGGGTTGTTGTTTTTTTCTTTTTCAAGCCTGAGGTGTTGGTTAGTTCATGTGTAACAGAAAGGATTTCTGAATTTTGAAATGAATAAAAATGCATAACAAAATCACGTGAAGTTCTTTTGTTCTTGAAGTCTTCAGAAGCTGTTACTGTCAGCTTCAGTAGGGCTGAGAGTTCTCAAGTTCTCACCATCTGCTTCACTCCTGTCTTCCCATTCAGGTGAATTCAGGAAGTGAATCCAGCTCCAAAAGGATTCACAGTGTTTTCAAGGAAGCAATAAAGAAACTACAAGAAAAGGGAGTGGTTTTCCAAAAACCCAGTACCTCCAAGGACCTGTACTACCATGTAAGGAACTGAGCTGCGACTGCTAACTTTTTCAATGGTATCACAATTTTATAGCTTTAAGGTAGAAATATTTCAGAAGCTGTATGTATGTTCATCAGCCTTATCTGCAGCTTTATTCACTGTTGCTTTTACCCCATATCTCTCACTGAGCTGTTCTTGGGGTTTTGTTTTTTGTAGCTCAATGCCATTCTTCAGCTCTCCTGCTCTTCTAGGTGCAGTCGGTGTTTACTGGATTACTGAACTGTGTGCTGATGCAGTAGAGCACAATGAAGACCAGGACAGGTCTTTTTATTGGGGTTAGGTTGAAACTTGGGATTCTGCTGCCTTGAGTCAGCTCGCTTCTTTTGGGTTGAATTCTAATATTTCATTCTCTTCTCCTAACACTTGAATCCTACTAATTGCTAAAAAAAGGTAATTGAAAATTTAACATTCATTATTGACCTTGGAGGCAGCCTATCATGCAGACTGTAGTTACGATGATGTAAGTTTTTAGAATACATCAGAACCTTGGATTCCTTTTTAATATTGATGCCGTCTACTGTGAAATAAAATGATAATTTAGAGCAGTCTACTTTTTCCTCCAGGTGACCGACCACGATAAGGAGCTGCTTAAAGTGACCCTTGATGTGATTAAAGAAGACTGTCAAAAACCTAGGCGTAAGTACTGGTGCTTTTGGGTCTCTGATGAGCAGTTGGTGATATGTTGATGACAGACTCTCCTGATGCAAGATTTACTTACTGTCTTTACCCTTGAACTTGAAGCTAATTTGCTCCTGTAGCTCATCAGAGTAGCTAAAAGAAATGTGGCTACAGCTTCCTGTAAGCAGAGTGAGAGAGCACGTGCCTAAAGGAAGCAAACTTGTCACATTTGAAATAAGCAGCCATTATCTTAAATCTGTATCTTTTGAAAATATACAGATTTGGGGAGGAAACAAATATCAGGAAGTTAGGTCAGCACCTACTAGCAGTTGCTTTCTACTTTGGGTATGTAGCAAATCTTGCTGCTTCAGTTTTTCTATGGGAGTTGACAGAAAAGTGGCAGTACAGACAGTCTCTATTAAGTCAACAATAAAATTCACGTATGTCAGTAGAACATTCTCTTTAAGTTTCTAAGCAAGTGCAAGAACTGAGGTGGTGGTTCTTTATAGGTTGGTATTTCAATGTTAAAAAAACATATAAAAAATCCGCTTCTTTTCATGTCATGTACCTTGTCTGGTTTCAGAGTTATCCCTGTTCCTTATTGTGTCTAATTGCCATAGCAGTAGCTGGTGCTTGGTTTGATTATCTGCTTATTACAGAGAGAGATTGATTCAGAGTTTGTCTCAATTCATTGGGTAGAATGTGTCAGCAGGGATCTTGTGCTGCTGAGTTGTAGCTGTTTGTGGGTGAGAATGTACAAAAGAGTGACTGACTTAGAATATAAGATGAATAATATTAAATTGCCATCATAATTACAGCAGTGTGTGTAGGATCTGATTGATGATGGTTATCCTGTGGAGAGAAAAAAGGGTTAGTGAAGTGAAACGACTCGAGTTTTCAGCTGGCTGCATTAAGCAGTGGTGCAGTTGTAGACGTGGTTTATAGATGGAAGTAGAAGTTTTGTGTCTCTGGGGATGATGGAAGTAGATGCTACTGGGCAAGCAGGTAAAGGTGAGTCTCATTTGCCTGAGGATATTATCATGTCATATTGGTTTTTTTTGTCTTTTATCCCATTAACAAATCTTCCATCCATTTTATGCGTCAGGTAGTTCTCTTGGAAACATATTTTTTTTTGTAATTGGCCCAGAATGTGTGTACAGCTGACGCAGGGTAATTAGTGACTGCTGGGTATGCATTATCACAGTGGTAAAGTATTCTCAGTTCTCTGTCATAGGTGGAAAAGTTATTTCAGCCAGCCAACAGCAGACAGAAACTGGTAGGTGGGTCACAGAAAAAACTTTGCAGAGCTTTTAGTTCTCAAAGTCATCTTTCATACAGAGCAGAAAAATAATAGCAGTTGCTTTGCAGAGCCTCTTGTTTTCCTTGAAGCTTTCCATCTGTTTAGTTTCCTGTTGTTGAGAGCACAATTCCCAAGTCAGTCTCTTTTTCTCTGCTGGTTTTCAGAAGGACCATTTCAGTGTTCTGGTTTCTGGTAACAAAGGATTTTGAGGAGGGAAACCAAAATGCTTCAGTCAAAACCAAGAGGGTTCTCTGGGCATTGCTGCAGCAGTGTAGATCAATGTGACTGTTGGGCCCCCTCTGCTGGGGTGTTGGCAGGCATAGTGAGGAGGCTTGTAGTGAGTAAATCTGAATGTGATGATGCCTCAGGTGTGATAATGCTTCCTTGTTTGCAAGAAATTCTAACCCATTTTTCTTCAAGAACAGCACTAACCTTCCATGACAGCAAAACTGTTTTATGTATGATAAGCCAAAGTTGTCTATCCAGGTCAACTAATTCTCTGCTTGCTTTCACCTCCATAATTTTTTTTATGATGCATTTTTCAGACCAACTCAGCTACCTGGAAATGTTGTACAAATAAAAAGTCCTCAGTGTGACTAGTCTGAGCTCCACAAACCTTGATGTTCAATATGCCAGCATGATAGCCCTTGGTTGTAATCGTAATTCCAAACAGCCTAATTTGAAGCTCACTTATGTGAGGCCAGTCTGGGTCTATCTAGAATCTTAAAGATAGTCAGAAAAAGGTGACAATTGGACTTCAGACTGAACTGCAAAATGGTAGACTTAATTCAGACTTGTTTCTTTTCTTGATTCCTTTACTCTGTTTTTAGGCTTAAATGCAGCAAGTGGAAGTTACTCTGTAACTCTATCCCTTCTGCTTCTGGTAGGCAAGACAGTTAATCATAGCCTGAATTACCTGAACAGATAAACTCCATGTCAGTGAAAGAGGAACAGCATCACGCCACTGCAAAGTGTGTATTCCATCAAATTTCATCTGTAGCCTAGGCATGTATCTGGGCTACTTTAATTATTGTACATACCTGCAAATACCCTGAAATGCCATTTTCTGCCAGCGTTTAGAACAAAAGAGGCATTCTACTGTTGGGTAATACCTGAGTCACTAATTCGAGACTGAAATTTATGTACTGCAGATCAGGGATGGGCACACTGACTTTCTGATGACAAATCTGTGACTAATGCAAAATGCAGGTACCCACTTTGTTTGTATCAGCAGTCACTAAGAGTGGGTAGATGCGTTGTTCTGTTCTCTGTCCTTATCCGTCCTAGGGTGGTGAATGTGTTTTTGGTTAGCAGCCACAAAAGTCTTTCATCATTCCGTGCCACTGACTTCTAAAGAAATATCCTTGCTTGAACCATAGTCTAATAGGAGTTGGGCTGAACTGTGTATTTACCTGTACTGAGCAGCAACTCCTATTTACCAGTGACTTTTCTAGGCAGCTTCCAAAGGAGTTTCAGGGCTTAGCCAATTCTCAGGTAGGGGTTGGCTAAAATAAAAACAAAAGCAGCAAAAACAGGACAGGGATCTCCCTGGTCCCAGACCTCTGTGCAAATTTCTCAGTGTCTTTGTCCGATTTACCTTATGAGCTGAGGAGTGAGTTGAAGGAAAGTCACTTGTGCTAATGTGCTTCATTTATGCTAACATTTTTCTCCTCCATTGGTAGCCATGGAGGAGAAAAAAATCCCTTGTTGTATTTTATATATTTCTGTTCTGATGTACATTTTCAGGGCTCGTTCCTCTTAGAATGAGATAAAGCTGAGAAATTCTGTGACTTTCTACTCCACTAATTGTTTGAGAAGTGTGAAGTATATGAATGGGGTTTCATCTCTAGTTGAATGAAGGTTGCACTGTGACAGTTCTTCCACAAGATGCCAGCATTGGGCAAGCAGTCACATCTGGCCATAGGCCTGCTTTCTGTTCTAAATGTTTTTAATACTGGATATGGGCAAAAGAATTTTTTTTATCTGATTTCTTCTCTTCATAGTCTAGCTGTCGGTGTCCCTGTTTGCTATAGGTGAGTTGGACTAGGTGGCCTTTAAGGGTCCATTCCAACTCAAACAATTCTAAGATTCTGTGATGAACTGCAGTTGCAGAAAGTAGATGGTTTTCATAGAAGGGTTTGGAGGTGCCCCTGAAGTTATCCTCGTTGTCAGGTTGTATTATGTGAGCTCTATATATTAGCTGATAAAGCTATCATTCACACTCATGATGAGTGTTACTGCCCTGACACGTCCTAGTGAGATCTGCAGGGACATTTGGTGATTGGAGAACTGCTGGCACAGACTAGATCTCTTTCTTCTGAATACATGCATCTCATGCCATTTTTTGTTTGTTGTTTTTTTCCAACTTATTTGGATTATAATATTCAAAAGGTGGCAGTTAGGCTGAGGTCTCCTTCATGCTTGGCTATGTTTTTCTTTTTTTTTTTTCCTGCAGATGCTGAAAAAGGCTGCCATTTTCTTCATGTCCTGAGTTGTGTTCGACAGAGTTACAATCCCAATCTGGCTGAAGTGGTGATGCAGCGTGTTTTGGAACTGCTGGAGAGCAACAGCGATATTGTCAGCACTATGGAAGGATATTATATGGCATTTTAAAGAGGGAAGATAAGATGCATTAGTTCTTGTCCAGTCAGGGTAAAGTAAAAAAGAATAAGGAATGTCTGAAACAGAACTCTGGCACTTAAAAGCTCTTACCTACTGTGCTCTCACTGGGGACAAAAAAGAGCTGTTTCTGTAACTGCTAGTTTTGTCCAGCTTCTGAGAAGTTGTCCCAATGTTTGTTTTAATATTCTTGCTGACTTCCTCATTATTACTGGGGAATGTTGTATCTAACTAATTCTGGACACCCTTCTATAGCAGTGGAGCTGGAAGAGACCACAGGCTTTCTGTCTGCATGTGCTTCCCTGATAAGCAGTGAGATTTGACCTGGCCTTTCTCACATCTACATCCAGTGAGCCCTAAAGAGAAGTCACTGCTAAAGAGTACTGTTTGCAGCAGTGGTCACATCAAGACTCATCTTTCTGACTTAAAGACTGACGTTGTGATCCTTCCTTACAGTGATAGCTGTTCTTTTTATGTATGATTTACAATAGGAAAAGCACATGTAAGCAAACAATCTAAAGGTTACCTGTTCTTCCTGGTAATGTTGGCACACCTATGTGTGTATATATGTGTGTGTATTCCTGAATGTACATAGCTTTGTCACTACTAAAACAGACCCCACCTTGCTCTGAAAAGTAATTTTCAGGAATGAGGAACTGCACCCCTTCCCCATGCTGCAGCATCCCCCACTGACTGTAAAGCTTGTCTGGGTTCCCCTGGTTACCATGTGCACTACTGACGCGTGTTGTATTGGATTCTGTGCAGACCAGAAGTTTCAAAATCAGCTAATGTCTTTGTTTATTTTTAAATTGCTTTGTATGTCACAAAATATAAGCAAAAAATTAGGTGTTTTGGAACAAAAAGTATGAAAACAAGCAAGACTCATTATGATCTCCATGCTTCCCATTGCCTTTTGTTGTCTTCCTTGTCACTTTCAGGAAAAATGCTATCCGTATCCTTGCTTGCAGCAGAACAAAAGACATGAATGAAGTAATGTTGGCCTGAAAAAGGTTGCCATGCAAGACATTTGACCTGGAATAATCAGAACTCTGTTATGTGCCACTGTTCGAAACCTGGAGCTGTTCAGCATCTGTGCTTGGAGGGCTTCATGCTGCAGGGGATCGTCTAAGTAATCTGCTTAGTAGTGTGGAGGTGATACCATTATTAATTTGGGAAGAGTAGGAAGGGAAGAATCTGTTCCTTCTCTCTGCTCAGCACCTTCCCTGTAACAGTTGAAACAGCAGGCTTCCAGGAGGCAGATGTAGTCGTGAAGCCCTATAAGGATTGACATAGCAGGGAAAAATAAACTGAATGCATGAGGAAAGCCAGTGAGTAGCCTCGTGTGCCAGGTTTCTGCTTTGTTTTTATATTATATGCCTCATTCCAAGCCATGGCTTCAGTGAGACTAAGAGAAAGGAGTGATGGAATATTTGGCATTTGCATTCAGAGACCTGTGGAAAACCCCAGCTTTATAGAGATGGTGTATGTGTTCATAGTGGAAAACTGAGTTACTTCACTGTCATTTCCCCACTTGCTGCAGAGCTTAATAGCTGATTTCCCTGCAAGCTGCCACTACTCCTAGTGTTAACTGCTGCTGTACTTAGAGCTAGGTATCTTCTAGTCAGATCTTAATATGGGCCTGAACACATTTCTGTATATGAAGTCTGCCTGAAACTCCTGACCTCCTATTTTCTATGCATCATGGATTGATGCAGACAAGAAGTGTGTCCTGTCTGTCCTGCCCCTGTTGTGATTTAAAAGCACTGATAACTGTGAAGCCTTAGAGATGAGGAGTGAGGAGCTTTTCTCAGGAAAGACAGATCAGTCACTCTGGAAAGAATCTTTCCTTTGAAGTTTTTAAGCTGGTCATTACTGGCAATACTCAACTCTTGGAAGGTTGTATTCTGTTGGAAATTGTTCCTCAAGAACTGGAAGAAGGGATTTTTCTTGCTTTGATTAGGGGAATAATAGGAATGAACACAAGGGAGCCCACTGTTTTTTACAAGACTGAAAGGGTCAAGGTAAAAATTAACAGAATGGCCCAGTTTCAAGTTATGCAGATTGTAAATATGAACAATAGTGTGGAGTAGTTGTGACTTAATCTTGTGCGCTTTATTTTTTCCTCAGTAGCCACCCAGCACAGACTAACACTCTGATTGAGTGCATTCCCCCTCCTGCACTTAGAGGGAACACCATGTGCATATGCCTGCACAGAAGTACCCCAGCTAGCTGTGAGCACAGAGCTCACATTAGGCTGATTTACCTGTTTACTCAGCATCTCTACAGTGTGCTTCTGTGACAGCAGTCTAGACATACCCATATTGGTATAAGTCACCTTTATGTAAGTTGAACTGCACACACTAGGGCTTTTACTGCTAATAAACTGTCTCTCTGTTTACAGATCATATCCTTAACCAGAGTCGTATCATGCATACTGTTTAAAAAAAAATTCTTAGATTTAGACCACACCTACAAAATATTGTGTGGAACATTCAGTGAAAGCACGCTTTCTCTTTTTGTTTAATTTGAAAACACTTTAGGCAATGCAGCTATTGCTGGTTTATTAAAGGACTTTGAAGGTGGCACTTTAAGGTAAAACTGACAAGTGAGAATTCATGTTGGACTGCTTCGTGGCCAGTTCTAGTTTCCATAGAAACAGTCATGGTAGTAAAAGGCAGGTAAGTAAAATGGAGGTTTTAAAAGCAGTCAGCATTTTTACATTACCTTAAAAATGTGTGTTTCCATAGAAATGGAATACCTTAGAAAAAAAAATTACCATACAATTTTAGTATTTAATATCTCAATATTCTGGCAAAATGCAAGCTGTTTTTCTGGAGAGGAGACAAAGGACAGAATAACTCTGCCTTCAGTTCCTCAGATCTGCTTACACGAGAGGAAAAATAGTTAACTTCGTGCCTCAGTTTCCTTTGTAAATTGTGGATAATATGGTTCCCTCTGTTGTGGGACACAAGCCCTGTTTTTTAGTAACACCAATCATTAAAAACTCTTGAGATCAAGAGTTTCAGCATGGTCTCCATCTCTCCTGTCCTAACTCTGCAGACTGGTGAGCAAACAAAAGTTCAGCTGCAGGAGATAAGAGTATTTACAATAATTAATTGCCATCTTCTAGGAGGAGGCCTGGTTTTACAGAAATGTTTTTGTGGATGTTGGTTGGCAGCAGGAAAATGTTGAGTCAGGAATCCTGGGTTTAATTCCCAGCAGTGTGCCCTCTCAGGCACAGAGGGTTTCTCCCTAATTTCTTTCACCTATTTCTGCTCTCTGTTCTCTCCTCTAGTTGTCATTTCTCAGGCCTTTCATTTCATTCGTAGTCTCATCATTCATCTCTATACCATGAATTGTGGTCAACCCCCCTTCCTCCCCGTTCTGTTCCCTTTATCTTTCCTAACTCAAATATCCTTGTCAGCTGCTGGCAACTGAAAATATCAGCATAATCCCTCCAACTAACCAACCTGATGTTGTTCACAGCCCACTCAGTTTCCAGCAGGCTGTGCTTTACTGTTTGTCCAGGTACCAGAAGAGGCAGACATCATCTTCAGCCTTGATCTTTTAAGATGTAGACTGCAGCAGGAACAAACTGCAATTTCAGGAAAACCCTGAAGGTTTCTAGCTGTGAGTTTTTGCTTTTGTCCAAGTATGAAATAAATAGAATTAAACATTAAAACACCTGTATCTTGCCCACGCTGCAGTAAGTACAAGTTGTTCTTCCAGATGGCAGAAGTCATCTGCCTGCCCGTGACGCTTTTCAAGCCTTTCTGCAGATTTTATCACGTAGGTATTCTATCAAGTTGATGTAGACTTCTAGTTTGTGCATCTACTAGGTAATGTCTCCTCTTTTGGACTGATTTTTTTTTTTTTAAGATGAGAAACTGTCATTATACTCTGTGTTTGATGTAATTACTGTCTGAGCACTTGTCAAATTCTGTCACACTGTCTCAAGTGATTTTGTATTCTGTTGGTGAGTTAACAGGGGTGAAGAACCTGAAGATCTTATGGTCTTGCACATTTTTAGAAAGTGGATGCACTGATAGAACAGGGAAGCCCAAATGAGTGCCAACAGTAAGGGGAAGGAAGAAATGGTCATAGGATAAGAAAGAAATCGCACACAAGATGATCACAAGGAAAAAAAATTTGTTACTTCTGCAGTGAGAACTACTTGTTTAGTTGTTCTGCAGTGCTCTTTTTAGAACTGAATGGACTGTTTTTTCCTGAAGTTTGCTGGCAAAGTTCTCCCCAAGGCAGACGAGCGTGATGGGAAACTGCAGCATCTTTATCAAGGTAGAGAGCTGTGTAATGAATTGTTAGGGATGCCACCAGCCCGTTCCCTCTAATATATTTTAAATGCACAGTGGAGAATATACTACTGTAGCCACAGTAACTTACAAGTTGAAATCGGCCCAGATTAACAAGATTGCCTGAACATAACATAACCTGGAATCTGCCAGTGAAAGAAATAACCTTAAGGAACAATTTTCAACAAGTGTTGAACCACCGAATAGTGTGGTGCCAATTAACCTGGCACAACATGACCTACAGCACTTGTTTTAGCTTGCTTTTTGTTATTGATTGGAAGAATGAACACTCCTTTCCTACCAGCTAGAACTGGAGCTGTCTGCCAGCTTAGCCTGGGATGAGCAAGTTGTGAATGTGTGAGCATGTATGGGCCCAAACATCTGCTTGTCTTTCTTGACAACTGGAGGAATAGCTGCAGCTAAACTACTGCTTTGATAGGCTGAGACATCTACTTTATTCATCTTTTTAATTTTCCCAAATTAAAGTAAAGCAGAGCAGAAAGTAGTCCCATCTCTGCTAGGGAGAGTGGTAAGAGAAATCACAAGTATGTGCCACTGCATAACAGTCAGTGTGATTAAATGAAGCATGTGCCAAGTTTGTTACGAGCTGTGGGACGTTTGTGGTTCCTCCCAGTAGTGGAAACCTCATCCAAGTACTATGGTGATATTTGGAAACAAGAGGGAGGAATTGGTTCTCACAAATGCTTTCCCCAAAAATAGTCATCACAGAAAGCCATACAGGCCTTCCCAATTTTAAAATGTGCTTTCTTGCCAGTGTACAAGGTGGTAAAGAAATGGAAAAAAGGGTGCTTGGAGTTTGTTTTTTCTCCTACTGCCAAAACTTAAGTCATTCACATTGAGAGTGTAGGAGTTGTTCTTGCATGTGCGTAAAACTTCTTTGCTGTAACGTCCACAAAACCATAACAAGCCAGCTGATGTTCTGAAACTGCTGCCTCCACTGCTAACTAATACTCCCTTATTGTTTTCTTTCCTCACCTTGTCTTTTTTTTTTTCTCCAATAATATCTCTTGGACTTAATTCCTGGTTCACAGTAGTTGCAGTCTCTTTGTTCTTCTATGGTTACAGTGATCCAGAACAAACAGAACAGGAGCAAACTGACAAACTGATACAGAGAGGAATTTTTCTTGGAACTCTGAATGTAGGAAAGGATGAGAAATAGAGAGGAAGTAGAGGGAGGAGGATTTAACAGAAAGATGTTTGAAATTAGTCCCACTGAAAAAGGCTAGGAAATAACTGCCTAATGATGCTTCAGACATCTGTTTCAGAACAGGCAGCAGGTGCTGCATGTAATTGAAAGCAAGGACTTGTACTATTTATTTTCTGTAAATAGAAAGAAAGGGAGGAAATGAAGGCATGAAAAAATTGGAGTAAGGGAACGTTTATCATAAACAGCTGCACAAATTTATCTGGAGCACAGCAATATGTATATGCTCTTCCTCTGCATTCCTGTCACTGTCCTTTAATAGTTCCTGTGTTGTGCAGGTCTTTTCTAAAAGACCAATTATTTTCATGCTCAAAACAAGATCCTAGCATAGGAGTTGGCCACTACAGTGTCTTAGAGATCAAAACGTTCAGGACAACGTGGTTGTCACCCAGATGCTGTTACAATCTGATGGATCCAAATAGATGACTGAAGTTACCTGGATAGCACAGCAGGTAGTGGCACTGCTCCACACTCCACAGGTGAAAAGCATGCTTATGGCAGGTCCTGCCTTCCAGTTCTCTGGTTTTGGGCGTCATTCTTTTTTTCCAAGCAATAAACATCCTACAAGGTGTTTGGTTTTCCAGACATCTCAGTTACTGCCTTGCAAAGCCTAAGCTGAGAATGACTGGGTAAGAAAAATACTTCTTGTATCTGCCCATGATGCTCAGGAGATCCAAAAACGCACCTCCTAAAGAAGTCTTTCTGTGATGGGAAAACCACTTTGCTTTTGTATGAAAGTGACTTTAAATAAAAGAGAACTACTAATGCACTTCACTGTGGTAGTAGTTGATAGTGTTAAGATTGTGTTTTTGTCATTTGTGGTCTAACTGCAGTTCTACAGCTAACTTTTCATAAGATTTTATCAATGCTTTTTCACAACTCACAGTCTACCTATCAAAAGTTCTAGTTTGGGTATTGGCAGTTAAACTTTTCTACTTTCTCTAGTGGGTGTTCAGCCAAATAAAATTATCATTTGGCTTTAGAAGGGTAAAAATAGTGAACAAGGAAATTAAAGTTTAAATGGGACATGGTGGAAATTTTAAATCTTAATACTGGGAACACAGTGTCCATGTGCATACTTAGAACTAATATGGGAAGGAAATGCAAATAAAGGCTATTGCTTCCTAGGATTAATTCATTTGTAACAAGCTGTATTTTCAACAAATGATTGTCAAGTTGTGTTGTTTTTTTGCAGAGGATAAGGCTGAAGCCAGTATTGAGATGTCCTCTTGAGAACAGTGAGGGAAACTGAAGTCAGGGGGACAGCATCTGGGAATTAGCCTGGAGAATCCCAATCCAAACCTGTGATCAGTTTGATAAACTTCAGCTGCCACAAATGTAAGCCTGATGTTTATACAATACATAGAAAAGTGTGGTTTGGGCTTGTTTTATTTTATGTTTTTAAACTATGTCATCAGATTGCTACAAAACCTTCATAACAACGGAAAAGTACAAGGTGTGCATGGATGAAAAACAGTCTGCAGTGTGCTGCTACTACCCTAAACAGAGCGTGAGGTGCACCTACTGCTGTTTCAAGTCTTTAATCCCCAACTCTGGTAAGAGAGGACTGAAAAATAATGTTAACCATGAAGAAGTTAAATTCTGAGATAGCTGTCTTAAGGAAAGGATGATCTATAATTTAAGAGAGTAAAGCAGCTCTTTTACAGTGCAACTGAAAGCTGTTACACCATAGGGAAAGCACGTACACTGCTAGCAGGGAGAATGATTATTTAAGTTTTCCCATGATACGAGGCTGCACTTGGGTTGATAAACCAGCATACTGGTGAGGAGGCTGAGGGGCAAAGGGGCTCGTTACTGATCTTGTGGGGCTGCTCTGCGGGACTGCAGCTGGTTTCTTCAGCTCCTTTCTACTACATTAGCTGAGCCTATTTATCCCAAGAGTGAATTTCATTTGAAAAGCAGTAATCTCCCAAGAAGATGAGATGTGATTCGCTTTTAAAAAATAGAAGGGAAAAAAAGATTGTATTGTGCTTTGTGTTTCAGAGTTTAAGATCTGAATGCCAGACAGGCTCTGTTATTCTTGTCACTTATATCAAAAGGCATGTGTTGAAAACCTGAAGTGGAAGAACTGCATCGAAAGCAGCCTGAAGGTTTTCTAAGTACAGAAGTTGAGAAGGGGGTGTAACAAAGCCTCTGTGGTGTGCTGTTACACATCAGAGCCAAGAAAACCCTAAGGGGCACATCTCTAGTACCATGTCTAGCAGATTACACATGCAACTGTAGTTGCCAGTAATGAGTTGTGTGGCTAATTTGTCATGCACAGCACCGAAACACTCCCCACAGGCGGCTCAGCTCATGAGGCACTTTGCTTTACCCAAAGGTGGTGAGCACCATTAGGGCTCCTCATAGTAAATGGGACAAGAAAATATCAGTGTGTTCCAAGGGCAGACCTTGGCAAATAGAAAATCAGAAGCAGGAAGGAAACATTGTCTTTGAACAGCAACTAAGCCACTCAGAAGGGGTTGTTATGCTATAGTGTGCTGGATGATATTTACAGAAATTTACTTATCTTTAGTGATATGCCACGAATTAATAAGAGGCATTACAAATAGCTTTAATGAAGCACAGAAAAATGAGGTCCTTGTTTTATTTTCTTGCTGACTTTATGGTCCAAGTATTTTCAATTTACAACTCAAATGCTTATTTGCAAAAATTAGCCAGCATGACAAAGTCCTCTTGCAATATGAAAATACGAGTTGTGCTCCAGCTCTGAGACCATCACATGTGCATTCTGTCACATCAGGTTTTGTGGAATTAGAATAAAATTGAGGCTGCTGGAGTGAAGCTGTACTGCATCTGAGAGGCTAATGTGGTTACCTGTTTGGTCAAAAAAAAGAAAAAAGAAAAAAAGAAAGCTCCTTTGCAGCTTTTCAAATTGCTCTTCAGAAGTCTGAATCCTTCAAACTGCTCCTCAGGTGGATTTTACTGGACCACGGTTCTGTAAAAGTGAACTATTAAATTAGCTGTTGATATTCATATACGTATTAAACTTATTGTTAATAGTACTGATATTCTTTGTCATGACAGGAATTCGGTAACTGAGACTTAAAGAAATATGAATACTTGGAGACTTAAGATTAGAATTTCTGGAGTTTATAACTTTCCTTTGAAATTGCAGTGCCTGGGTCTGTGTCTTCGTGGTCCCTCTCAAGTACAGGCTCTTTAATGTGCGAAGCCCAAGGAGCCTGCTGTGCTTTGCCCTCCTTGCTGCTTTCCTCTCCTTGAGTCCCAGGGGCAGTCCAAGCCTGCCTCTCAAGCACAAGGGTTGGGCAGGTGCTGTCAGCTCCCTTTTCCCAGCTGCTGCTGAAGAGAGGAGCAGATTTTCTCAAGCCTGCAGCACAATAAGTGGTTTCGGTTATTTTCTGCCAGTCTTGCAATGGTGTGGGATCAGACTCCCACTAGACTGGGCGTTGTACATATTTTAAAAGAACAATCCATGCCCCTAGCAACATACATTTTTCCTATGGAAATGGATGGCTGCAGCAGACAAACAAGGAGAGCAGAAGGTGACAATGAGAGTAAAAGCAGCAGATGGAGGAGACGAGGAGGTTGTACACACATAAGGGCTGGGCAGGCTTTACAGCTGGAGAAGATTGGAGCAGCGAACAGTTAAGCTGCCTTGAGCAGAAGGAAGGTGAACAATGAACTAGAAGCTGTGAAAGTATGGGGTTGTCACCAAGGGAGCACGAACCTCCAAGTGCCATTAAGGTTTGACTGAAAATAGCAGCCCCTTGCAAAAGTAGATGAGAAGGAGTATCTGTAAGGAGATGCCAGTTAGTAAGAATGTCAGGAAGGATGGGGCAAAGTGTTTGGAGAATTATGTATGTTTTCTTTTTCCCTCACAATGAAATGTTTTGAAAGCTGACTTAAAACAAACCCTGAGTATTTTAAACGATGTGGGGAACCCTTTATTCTTTTCTGGACAGAGTGATAGAAGAGGATGGAATGTGTAATGTATATTGATAATGGCTCACAGGAAAGAGGCATCCAAGACCCCAAAGACCAGCCATGCTGAGCATATTTTTATCAATGGGTTATTTGAATATTTACATTTGCAGGGAAGAATTTTCTTTGTTTGCTCTGCACACCGTGGACTTCTTGGCCAGTCTAAACACTAAAGGTTTCTAGTATAAATAATTTCTCTACTGCCTTGTGTCACGCAAGCAGATTAGAGGTGGGATGCCCTTCGAAGAAGAGCAGGATAGGGAATGCATTGATGGAAAAAAGGGATGGCGTAGTTGAGAACATCTCTTCCAACCGCCCCGTTACCAGAAGGCAATCTAGCATTAGCACACATCTCAGGATGGGGTGCCAGGATGTGAGCATTTTCTATCAGCTCTCTAGTTTTGGTGAACTGTGTGTAGTAGGAGAAAGGTCCAAGCATCTCCACCTGGAGAGAGTGTACTGGAAGGACAGCATTATACAGCAGGTAGTTATGCTATGGCCTTGCTCCCGTTTTTCCTCTTTTCAACTTCTTAAGCTGCTAGTGGCATCCAGCAACTTCTCACTTTCAGACATCAGCCTTCAAGCTCAGCTTTTGGTGTAATTTAATTTCAGTGTGTGCTTTACAATGGCTAAGAGAGCTAATAACACAGCTGTAGTGAAAATGCTGAATCACAAAGCAGTGATTGAACACCTGGTGGGAGGGCAGGGCCAGCCCAGGGGAGCACAGGTGCAAGCAACAGGTGCAAGCAATGCTCCTGAGCAACTGTAAGGGGTGGAGCCAGGATCCGACCTTTCCCAGATCTCATTTAAGGGTTGGCAGTTGGAAGGAGGGGGATCTCTCTGGAGATCCCTGTGTACTTGAGATCTTCCAAAGGTAAGTGGATTTTTTCCTTTGTTTCTGTGTAGCTGTTGTATTTGAGCATGTCTTCACTTGCTGCTGCTTGGGGCCTTGCTGCTGAGCTCTCACTGCTGTGCTTTCTGTTGCATTACAGCAACACAAAAGTTGTGATTCAGAAAATGCGCTTATAGCGCATATGATGAAACCCCACTGAGGCTGACCCTTCTTTCCCTGTAAATAGGGAACGTCCTTTTGCCAGGAGCTGGGGCCTTTCTACACTGCTAGGCTTGCAGGTCTGTAGCTGTCAGCAGTGCTGTGGGAGCTTACTGGGAAATCTGTTTGTGCTACTGTTGAGACTTCGTTTGGTGAAGGAAACAGAGATCTTGGCGAGGTCAGTTAATTTGGTGGATATCAATTCCTGGAGTGAGCTACTGGCTGGGAGATCGCACCCGAGTTCCCTTGTTAGTGGTAAGCAAAGTGATGATTTGTGAAGCACGTGACATTTCTGGGGCTGGTTGCTCTTGCAGTGTGACCAGGGAAAGACGAGGCTCCTTTTGCACGTGTGTGGAAAGAGCTAAAGGAGGTCCATCGCTAGAATCCCCCTGGCAGACAGTTTGCACAGCTTTCCTCCGAGTCCGATCCCTTTGCAGCCCGGTCGGAGGTCGCACAGCCACCCTCTCCGGGGCACCGGCCCCACTGTGCTGAGGACTCGGGCCGGCCAAATTTCGGCCACTCGCCGCAGTGACGGGGGGCCCCGGGCAACCCGCTCCGCCCCAGCCCTCCTCAGCCTCAGGCAGCGACTCGGGTACGGCTCCCGGACCGAGCGGGGCCCTCGGCCGCCGGCAGGGCGCGAGGGGCCGCCATCTCAGGGCAGGCCGCGCCCCCCCGCCGCACGGGGCGGTGGCTCCCGCTCCCCTCGCGCCCCTTCGAGGCGGGGTCGGGCCTCGCCCTCCCGCCGCCGCTTAGCCGGAGGCTGCGGGCAGGGCGCGGGCGCGGGGCCGGACTGCCTCCGGGAGCGGGGAGAGCCGCCGCCGCGGACGGGGCGGAGCCGGCAGCGAGGCGTCCTCCTTCGCTCCCGCCCGCCGCGCCGGCCGGCATCGCCGCGGCGGGCAGCGCGGCGGAGGGTGCTGCCAGCGCCGGGAGGGAGCCGCGGGGTGCGCGAAGATGCTGTCCTACAGCGTGCTGGACGCCAACGTGGTGGACGTGGAGAAGAGAAGGAACCCCTCGAAGCACTACGTGAGTAGCGGCGGGGCCCGGCGCTCTCCGCGGGCGGGCGGTGCACGTGTGCGGCGGGAGCGGAGCGGTGCCTGCGGGGCCGGGACCCAGCGGGGCCGTTATCCTTCGCGAGTTGTCTTCCCTTCGGGAGGTGAACTGCAGAACTTGGGGTGGGACGCGTTTCGCAGCTCTCCGGCTCGTCTCCGTCCCGGCGCGGCGACGGGGACCGCTGTGGGGTCAGCCGGCCGGTGCTGAGCGGGCTTTGCTCGTTTTCTGCCGTGAAGTTGCACACGGACTTTTTCCGAGGGACGGAGAGGAGGCTCGCGCGGTTCTCGAGGCGGACTCGGCGTTCGGGTTCCCTTTCATGTCTGTTGCCTTCCTCTTTTCACACCTTGCTGCTAACGGAGCGGCGCAGACGACCTTCCCGGGCTGCGGGGCACCGTGTGGAGGTGGCTTTGCCTGCGGGAGTTCACAGCAGACAGTTTGCCCGTCTGCATAGTTAGAAAACACATCTTTCCTTCGTTCCCTGGCTCTGATTCTCCTGGGTTTTAGCTGCACGTGGTCCTTTAAGTTTCTTCTCAAAATACAAGCTGTGTTTAAATACACAGTTTTTCTGTGTACAGAAGGTAAAGCATCCCAGTTTGGTAAGGAAAAGCCCGAGGGGTGCTGCCTGTGGTGTGGAAGTGCTCTGAGTGCGCTGTGTTTCCTGGCACTGCGTGTCTGCCAGGCTTTTTTGGAACTGGTGGGCACTTGTATGGGGTGCATGAAAGATAAGGCTGAAGACTGGATGTAAAGTTTTGTATTAGTATTTCACATCGCTGAGCATCTTCCTCTAAGGCTTAAGCTGCAACCCAGGTTAAGGCTAGAGGGCACTATGTTGCTGAGAGATGCTGATCTGCAGATGCACGGCACGTCAGAGATTCAGCTTTACAATTAACCATCTTTTGCCCCATTCATAAGATCGGGAGCTCTGAGTCTGCTCCCAGTGTGCCAGCTGGACCAATGTCTTCAGCCTAGTGCTCATTTACTGCTTTCCAGGCAGGAAAGGCTGCTTTTGCAGATTGTCACTGAGCTGTGGCTGACACCACTGCAGTCTGTTATCTCACCTGAAAGGTGACTGTGATTTGGCATCGGAGGCTGTGAAGCCTCTAGAGATGTATGACTGCCAAGCAGCAAGTTATACAAAAGGACTGGGAACAATACATTCCCAAGCACTAGGAGAAATGAAAGTTAATTTCTTCTTTTTTGGAAAATAACTGCAGAAAAGGGATTTATGTCTTCTATTTACCAGCATGGAAGAAAATATTTCCCTCTTTTTCCTGCAGGAATGTTTTTGTGTTTCCTTGATGACTGTTGTCACTGCATTTTAACAGCAACCTGAACTCCTACAGACAGCTCTATACAGTGCTTCTAGTAGGGAATTCTGTTTCCTGTCCCTTTACCCCACTCTTTTTATGCTGTTTCTAATATTGCCTTTTTCAGTACAGTTCCATGTTCTTGTCTGTTCTTGA